CCCTGCGCGCCCCCCCTGCACCGGGGGCTGCTGCACCGCAGGAGTGAGTCCAACCACATGAGTGTCAAGAGGCTGCGATGGGAGCAGGTGGAGAACTCCGAAGGGACCATCTGGGGGCAGGTATGGCCCGGGCACAGGGACCAGGGAGTGGGGCAGGGGGTGAGGGTCCAAACTGTGGCCTGGGGAGTGGTTGCCTGTGCCAAGGCTGTGCAGGTCGGTGGGAGCATCCACGGGCACTGCTCTCCTCCCTGCCCAGTGCGCGGAGGGGGCTGTTCCCTCCCTGGAGCATCGCATCCTAACCTCTTGTTGGGCCACGCATTCAATACCTTAGCCAAGGGAATGAACTCTGAAGATGCCATGTTACATAAAGTCTCATATTTCTTTTCATCCTTCTAATTGTTTGGACCAAAGCTGCCAGGTTGAGAAGAGGCTCTGGAAAGCATCTGAAATTCTGGTTTTGACTGCAGCGTCCTGGGGAGCGCTTGCTTTCCTGCTCTCTGTGGGTTGACATAGGCAGGAGCTGCCTTCAGCCATGTTTTGCAGCTGTAGGAGGTTTTGTTTGGGAAACCACGAAGATGGTTGAAAGCAGAGTGATGGGGAGAGCACCGAGGCAGGGGAGGACACTGGAGGGGGAAAGCAGAGGTGAAGAGTGGGACTAGATGTGATAATCTTTGGCATTATGGACTTGAAGTGATGCAGAACTCTGGAGGTGGATTCGAGTCCCTGTAGGGAGAAGCTGGCCTCCCTGGAGTTTAACTTCCAGCCTCTGTGGAATGATGAATGGTGATGACTGTGTTCAGATGTGCCATATTCTTCGTGCCCTGAGCATCTAGAGGGGAGCCGTGGAATCATATTCCAGTCCCACAGGCACCCACCTCGTACCAAGCACTTGAAATCCTGTGGGTCTCTTGCCCCAGCACTCCAGAGAACAAGATGATGCTTCTCAGTGATTTTTTTGTACGCAAAGAATTCCCAAAGTTTCAGATGGGCTTAGCAACTTGTGTAGAAACTGCCTCCACAGAAGTGAACGGTTCACCAGGCTCTGGTTTCTGTGCAAGGTTTATGATGGCTGAGTCTCCAGTTACAGGACAGTGCCATCAACCTGTCCTGGTTTCTTCTAGGGATGCAGAGCTTAGTGTGGGGCAGAGGGAAGGTGGCCTAGCGCAGGCGGGCAGTGTTGGGCTGTCCCCTGCTCCAGCAAGGCTCCTGACTATTCCTCCTCCTGCAGCTCGGGGAAGACTCGGATTACGACAAGCTGAGTGATATGGTCAAATACCTCGACCTGGAGCTGCACTTTGGGACGCAGAAGCCTACAAGTAAGTACCTGAGCCCCAGAATAGGTCCTGGTACTGGCCAGAGACCAGGGCACTGGGAGGAACTGGGGCTCGGTGGGCACCAAAGCAGTGCCTGGTCCTAGCATCACCCATGGCACAGAATTCATTCATACTCAGGATGCTGGTGGCACAGCAGATCATTAAGGTGGAGATTGTTTCAGTGTATCTCCCTTAATTTTCTTCGCTGCCATTATCTGTTTTCTCTCTGCATTTCAGTCGATTGGGGCAGTGAAACTCAGCTGGAGGGCTTTGCTCCCTGTTGTGCTCAGTGCTGCTTCCCAGCTCTCACAGTGCCTGTCCGGCCATCCCCATACCACAGGGAATGCCGGTGTGCCAGCACCGCTCTCCAGTGCCACAAAGGGCCTGGTTTGCAACACAGCAGAAGCTCAAACCTGCACCACATATTATAACGATTTGTGCAAGGCCTTTGCTTGTTACGGTCTGCGCAGTATGGACAGTCAGCTGGGCCGTCGGCACGCACGGACACCGTTGTGCTGCAGTAGCAGTAACAGCTGCAAATTAGAATTGCAGCTCTATTGCTTTGAGAACTCAGCCCTGAAAAAGCCGTGAAAACATTTCTCTGTCCATAGAGAGCACTACAAGCAACACTTTTCTTTCTACATATATATTAAGTTAGTTCCCCCCAAAACCTATGTATGAGGTCCGTAGCTACCCGCCAGTGCAGCCTTCCCATTGCTCTTGAATTGGGGTCTCCTGCAGACCCACCAACTGGGATCTCCCACCCCCCGGGGTTTCTGGGCACTGCAAACCCAGAGAGCAGGTCCAGGCTGGGGGTGCCAAGCGGCGGTGGCCAGGGTGGCTGCCCTGTGCAGTGGGAGGCATTTGGGGCTTGGGGTGACAGCGGTGTGCTCCTGCCCCCTCGCAGCCTGCCCGAAGGGAGGTGTGGGGCAGCGTGGTTGCCTCATTTACACTGGGAAAAGTAAAATGCCAGTGGGATGTCTGAGCTCTCCTGCAAGGGACATGATGCATGATGGCAGTGTGGGCAGATCTAAGCTGGAGCAGCCAGATACAGATGGGACTGGCAGTGGAAGTGGGATAGGATTCTTCTCAGGGGGTATCTTTTTTGGGATGTTTCTGGGCAGTCTGGGATTTTCTGTGTGTTTCACCTCTTGTTTTACCTTTTTCAGCTCCAACTGAGTCCTCCATTGAGGAGATCTTTGAATCGCAGAATTCAAGGATTCCTGGACCCATTGCTGTGTGCAAAGCATCAGTTCTCCTCTCTTTCATTCATGGTTTCACTGTTTTCAGGACAATTTTCTTCCTGCTGGAGCCGGCTGAGCCTGTCCTTACCCATGATTAAATCTTTCAGTTTCTCTTCCAGAGCCAACTCTCATGCCTGAAAACTTTAAAAAGAAAGACGTGGTTGAAATTTTGTCCCACAAAAAGGCCTACAACACATGTAAGTAAACATCACGGTGAACGTACCCCCCAAAACGGGCCCAGAGATGGGACCGGGGATGTAGAGAACTGGAAAGGTAAAAGGAGGGAGGCTTCATGAGCACAATCCCATGAGGGCAATCCCAGCACAGCTCTGCTGGTCTGGACTGTTCCTGCAGCCCAGACCTGCTCCAGGCTGGGCTCAGCACCAGGCAGGGGGAAGAAGAAGGCTTTACAAGAAAGGACGGAGATGGGATGTGACTCATTGGCCTGGGGAGGGAGAGGGGAAGAGCTTGCATGGCCCGTGGGGCAGCAAGGGTGTGTGGGGCCACCCTGCCACCCGCCGAGGGTCAGTGCCCCTTCTCCAGGATGTGCTTCTGGCAGAAGGAGGGTGGGAGGGCTTGGTGGGACCCTGTGAGCCCCTGCTCTCCTGGCTGTGGGGGACATGGGAGAGAAGGAAGCGATGGGGGTGGTTTCCAGTGCAGCCCAGCCTGATGTGTTGGTGATGTACACGCACGATGATGCAATATCCTGGGGGGGTCTGCAGGACCAGAGTGGCTCCTTGGGGCCCCATGCAGCCTCTGCAGGGCCTTGGGGAGCAGAAAGCCCTTCCTCTCCCCAGGGCTGACCCTGTGCCAGCACGGGCACGTGGAGAAGTCCACACCACTCACACTGTGGAGAGACTGAGCTTCCCCTCCTGGTCCCATCCTGCCAGACCCCTGTCCCAGCGCAGCCAGCCCCCGGGGTCTGGTCCTCCTCCCCTCCCAAGTGACGGACCTCCCTTCCCCGCAGCCATCCTGATAGCCCACCTCAAGCTCTCGCACATCGAGCTGCGCCAGATCCTCATGACAATGGAGACGGACCGCCTGGAGCCTTCCCACATCAAGCAGCTCTTGCTGTATGCCCCAGATGGGGAGGAAGTCCAGCGTTTCCAGAGCTACAAGGAGAACCCCGGCAAGCTGAGTGAGCCCGACCAGTTTGTGCTGCAGGTACCTGTGGGCAGGGACGTGCTTTGGGAGTGAGGAGGTCTGCATGTGCAATGTCCCCGGGATGTTCCGCTGCGAGCTGGAGGGGAGGAAAACACACAGCAGAGAGGAAGCAGTCCGCGGGACACTGGTCTGCCCAGGCATGCTGTGGGATGGGAAGAGCTGGTGGCAGTGCGCACAGGGACTGCGAGCGACGCTCGGGCTGGTGCCTGAGGTGTCTGGCAGCTCCTATGGCGGCTGTTTTACAGCCAAAGCATACCACAATGTTTACTCCACAGTAAGAGTGACTTTGCCCAACTCTGACTTACTTTCTGTTGACAAAAAGTCACTTGTGGATATTGGCATGAAACCTCCCCGTCCTGTGGCAGCAAAGTGGCTGTGCTCTGCGAGCTACAGCAGCCATCCCAGCTGCTCCGGGGTGTTGCCTGTGCTAAGCAAGTGCATACTGCTTTCAAGAACAGGGAAATATGTCAGGAAAAACACCATATAGGAGGGATTATGGCTAATGGTGATAGTAGTAATTTTCTCCTTCTTTTGCTCTCAGATGTTGTCAGTACCAGAATACAAGATCCGTCTGCGCAGCCTACATTTTAAGACCACCCTGCAGGAGAAGACAGAGGAGATCAAAGCTAGCTACGAGTGCATCTGCAAGGCCTCTCTAGAGCTGAAAAGCAGCAAGAAGCTGGCTAAGATCTTGGAGGTCAGAACAGTCCTTCCTTCTGGTAACAGCCACCGGGGGTCCCCAGCCTCCACGGGAGCACCCGTAGGCAGCCGGGCAGCTCGCGGGCAGCTCGCGGGCAGCTCGCGGGCAGCCGGAGGGCAGCTCCAGCCCCACGGCTGTGCCCTGGGCCCCTCCGGGTCCGGCTTGGCCAGGCTCCATCCCCTGGCAGCTCCCGCTGGCATTGGCTTGCGGGGATCGTGGCCTCGGGAGGATGTGTGAGGGCAGATTGCGGGCGGCCACGCAGCACCCGCAGCACGCAGCAGGGCTGCAGGAGCCAGAAACCCAGCAGTAACACAGCAGAGCCCACCGAGGTTGCCCTTTAGCTGCGACGGAGCTGGAGGATGCGGGGTTTGGCCGAGCAGTCGCTGCGGGCATGTACACATGCAGGTAGCACTGCAGGCTGGTCCCTGTGCACGGCCGTGGGCTTGTGCCAGCCCTGCCGCGGTGCAGGCAGGGGTCCCGCATGCTGCCCGTCCCTCTGAGACCTCCTCGGGATCCCGGGGACGGGCTGTGCCTGGCAGAGGGGCACTACATTCGCAGGAGAGAACGAATCCTGCTGCAGCTGCTCTTTGACCCTACTGAGATGAGCTGCCCCAAATTAATGTTAATTCATTCAGGTTTGCTTTTAAGTAAAGCAGGTGGGATAAATGAGAACACGATGTGACAAAAAGCATTTCCAGATGAGAGATGAAGCTCCTTAGTGGCTCCTGGCCAGTAACCCCCCAACACGTTATTAAATCCTTGGGGGGCCACGGCTCGTTGCACATTAACGGGTGCTGAACAGAAATTCAGAGAGTCCCAGGCTGAAATCCAGGCAGTCCTGAGGTCCCTGCAACTCTCCAGGCCCCAGGAGGGACATCAGGACTCGAGTGAGCCCAGTCTGGGGTCCTGCTGTGCCTGCAAGGCTGCAAAGCCACAGCAGAAGGAATCAGAGCATTCTGGAGGGGAAAGCCTGCTCTGCTGGATCACTACTTTCCCTTTAAAATATCCCCTTAAAGATCTGCAGATAACAGCTGCAAAAGGCTTTGGGAAGAGGAGAGCTTAGGCACTTGCCAGTCAGCAGGAGAGTCCTTGTCCTGCAGGCAGGAGATCTCAGAGTGGACCTCCAGACTTAGCCCGGTCCTGCAAGTTAAAACAACTGAGAAATAAAAAGGCAAAACCAAATTATGCACGCCCAAAGCCTGAGGCTATAACACAAGACAAAATCCCCCCTTAAACATTAACAAAGCTTGGGCACCTGCATCGTCAGTCTGGAAGTGGCAAAGGAGCCAAGCTGGTGTTAGTGGTGCCATGGGCTCCCTGCAGCTCTCTGGCAGCACAGACCTTCTGGACGGCTGCAGGAGAAGGAAGGGGCCTCCTGGGCAGCATCCACATAAACCACATAGGGAAGCATCAAATGAGTTCTCTTATAAGGGCTTGGAAGTTTGGGTCTGCAGATGACAAACGGGGTGGGTTTTCTAGCTCCCACTGAAGACACAGGAGAGGTGGTGGATGAGGACCAGTTCTTGTAGCTGAAGTGTGGGCTTTGCTGTTGAGGGTTCAGTGCAGGCTTCATATGGGAGCAGCATGGAGAAGAGAACAGCCTGTGCCTCCGGACCCGCGGCCCTGTCCCTTGGGGCTGCCGTGCTGATGGGCGCATTAGCAGCCCTCCTTCTCCCAGTGTGCCATATGGGTGATAGGATGAACAGTGTGTACAGAAACAGCGGAAAGTCTGCCTTTAACATGCATTCATCCACCTAATCTAACCCACTGAATGAACTGATAAGGTTTTATTAAAAATCCTCTATGAACACACATACAGGGCCCCTTAGCAGAAGTGACCTGGCACAAAAAAGGGTATTTTCCCACTGTCCTGTAGACAGAGGGAGGCTTTTTACCTCTGCTCCTACCACATTGTTGGTAGGTCTCTGTATCCCAAAAGTGGGTACAAAAGGAGATGGGAGATGGTACGATATAAGCGCTGGAGATCACTGGCCAGTGATTCACTGAGGTATCTCTTTGCAGTTTGTGCTGGCGATGGGAAATTATCTGAACAATGGGCAGCCCAAGACCAGCAAAACAACAGGCTTTAAAATCAACTTTCTCACCGAGGTAAGATGAAGCATGCTTGTTCCCGTGCAGGAGGCACTAATATTGGGAGCTCCAAGTGCCGATTTATCGTGCTTGTCCTTGTGCAAGGCTCCTGGGTGCAGCGGCTCCCAGAGGTGGGACCGGTGGGAAAGCTGGGATCGATGTGCAGGGTTGACTTCAGAGAGGCCCTAACGGTGGTCTGCTGCTTCAGTGTGCTGGGACCTGAGACCCAGGCCTTCTGGCTGTGGGGTAGGAGAAAATGAAGGCCTTTTATCCCACGTGGGTTGCTGTGGGACTCCTGAGGGGTGGGGGACGGGGTGACAGCCCTGGCCTGTGGAAAGGAGGCATTGCTTAGCATCTCGATGCTACTAATCTGGGCGTAACATGCTGTGTAAACATTAAATGTCCTATTTAAACATTAATCCACATAGCATGGCTTGAAATTGCCACACACGTGAATGCAGGGTGAGCTGAGCACAACAGAAGAGCCCCTGTGTATTTGGGTGCTTGGCAAAACGCGCTCTCCTCTGCATAGGAATCTCCTTACTTGTTTTGCTTTGCCGTAGCTGAACACAACCAAGACTGTTGATGGGAAATCCACTTTCCTGCACATTCTTGCCAAATCACTTAGCCAACATTTCCCAGAGCTCCTGGGCTTTGCCAAGGATCTTCCTACAGTGCCGCTCGCTGCCAAAGGTAAATGAACAAAAGCATCTGCAAGCTCCTTGTCTCTTTGCACTGTCTCTTGGTTTCGTATGGGTCTAGAATTGGTCATGAGCTGCACAGCGTTGGCACAAGCAGGATGGCGGCCCAAACAAGTGAGGAATGGTCCTGAGTGAGAGGACAGGGCTAGGAAGGGATGAGCTTAGAGACAGGGGAGGTCTCATCCGTCTCACACTGCTGCACATGGGAGTGTCTAGACAAGGCTCTGTCCCTGACCTGAACCTTCCTTCTGACTTCCAAAAGTGGTTCCCAAGTTCAGAGGTATCTTGTAAGTGCAAATGAGGAACAGAAGAGGGAAGTGCTAGGAGCCAGTCTGCTCCACCCAGCCTCCGCCTCCTTCCATCTCTGGTGTGTAGCCTCCCTGGCGCGGCTGCCAGCATTATTACTGCTTGCAATTGCGTGTGTACAGAGTGTACAGCACCCCTCATGTTATGAGTTCACAGTCCAGTCACAGGTATGTCACGCTGACTGAGGATCCTACAGTTGCAATAAAAAAAGTCACACAGATGCTGGGGTTATCATCCGTCCACTTGTGTTGGTGGGGTCACAATAGGCTGGCTGCATGCAAAGCATGGGCTGCACATCATCCCCTGTTGTTTGTGAGTAATTCCCTTGGGAATTAGTGGATAATATAAAGTGGATAAATAAAGGAGAAAATTCAGGCCTGGAGATGTAAATTTCCACTTGATGAAGGTCTGTACCTGTAGCTTTCCTAGCTGGATTTTGTATCTGGCCTAACTGTTAAATAATACTTCTGCCACTGAAGGCTCCCTGCTGCCCAGACTCCTGCCACTTTATTCCCAATTTCAGACCGTGTGCCATCCAGGGCTGCCCAGCTTCGCTCTCATACAGGCCACAGAGTGACACAGCTGCAGCACATAACCCAAACCCTCCTGACATGCTGCAGTTCACCTTCTCCCTTGCCTGTAGGAGAGCTAACGCTTGGCTGCCTAAGACAGCAATGAGTCTGAACTGCTCATCACTCTCCTGAATGCTGGTGCTATGATGAGATGCCATGGAGGGCAGCCTGGATGTTACCCCTTGTCCTACCAGCCTGTACACTCCCTCTGTCCCCCTCCCAAGTCAAGTACCTGTGTAACCATCGCTGCCCTTGTGCTCCTGACTCCTGCATGTTCCTTGCACTTGGCATGTTCCAAGCTTCTTTTGAGGTTCTTGGCATCTCTGGGCTCAAGCGCCCAATGGCAGCTGCTGGCAACCTGCTGGAGGCCAGCAGGAAGGTCTGGTTGTCCACCACACCCTGGACAATGCAGACAGGTTGTGCAAAGCCATGTAGACAGACAGCCTGAACCACCCTGACTGATGGCCCACGCTCGTTGCCCTTGCTTTGCTGCAGGAAGCAAGCCAGACCTAAGTCTCCTAACACTGTTGACTCCTCTCTTCTCATGTAGTGAATCAGAGAACACTAACGGCTGACCTAAAGGACCTGCACACCACCATCAGTGACATACAGATGGCCTGTCACAACATGCCAGCTACCGCAGAGGACAGATTTGCAATTGTGATGACTGTATCCTTCTGTAAAAGGGGCAAAACACCAATGTGACTTACTGCCCTCAAGTAAAACCACTCAGTTGTCTTTATGCCTCCTTAGTAAACAGCAGGGCTGTGTCCGGCTGGTAAGAAAGGACCATCTCAGCACTTGGTGAGAGCATGGTGGAAATCTCCACCTTCCACTCACTCTTAGCCAGCATGGGAACCAGCTTTTGTGATGACCACCGGTTCACATGCCTCTGCGTGGCAGAATCCCAGTGCCACAAGGCCAGAAAGCTTGCCGAGTCGTCCTTCCTTCCAGAGAAGTGCTGTTAGGGACAGCTGAGCCTGCCAGCGGGCTCCCTTCGCATGCGGCCGCAGCCTGCATTTGCAGCAGGTCCTTTCTTAGACTTGAGATGAAACCCAGCCTGAGATGAAACCCAGCCATTTGATAAGCAGAAGTGATTCTGATCCATACCAGACCCACAGTGCGGCTGTTTTTCCTTAAGCCATTTCTTTCAGTCCTTCCTGGAGAGCGCCCAGCCTGCCATCCGATCCCTGGACGACCTGCAGCACAAGGCCATGGAAGAATTCAGCAAGGTGTTGTCCTTCTTTGGGGAAGACTCAAAAATGACAACTTCTGAAGCTTTCTTTGGCATTTTTGCAGAATTTATGAGCAAGTTTGAGGTGAGTTATACTTTTCAAAGCCAGCCAGCAAGGGGTTTCCTGTTAAGCGTCAGTGAAGCGTTTTACTTGCATGTGACCTGTGGGAACGAGACGAGCTTTTTGTAAGCATGTGTACCTGAGTGTCTGCAAAGTGCAATTTTTCTAACATACAAGTTGGCTGTCTGGTGCAAGAGGCTGAGGTGAGGGCTGATGGCCCAAGCACCGGCCCCATGGAGAGTAAAGCAGATGTTGTCATGGTCTGACGTTCTTGGTTAACAACGGCTGGGTTGGAGCACCACAGAGCAGATGCACTGACTGTCAGGGCTTGTCCAGCGGGAAGCCGGGGGAGAATTAAGTCTGTAGTGGCCAGTACTGTTGAAATGTCCTCCCTGTCCACACCAGCTGCCCTTGCCTGATTCTCAGCTCCTGCTCTTTGCTCTCTCCCTGCAGCGAGCACTCAGTGATGTGCAGGTCGGCGAGAGCCAGCGCAGCCCCAGGATGACCTCCCCCCTTGCCTGGTGACGGGCCTGCAGCAACGTGAGGTGCAACAATTTATTGCCAACAAAGTGCAATTTGCTCCCGTTGAGTTTGGTTGTAAATACGCTGCTGTCACCTGCTACCACCAAGCAGAACCACGGACCGAGGGGTCAGGGCAGTCTGAACACTGAAAAGCCACCATAGGTGATAGTGGATGGATGCGAGGGTGAGGCACAGGGACAAGAAGGTAAACACCGTGATGGTCTTGACAACAGCTTTCTTAGCACCCTCCATTTCCAGTATATTACTGAGTCAAGCATTTCACACACATCTGGGTAAAAGCCCACTCTCCCGTGTTTCCAGAACATGCATAACTGGCACCAGCAGTTGCTGGAGACCTTCCCCACGTCCCCACGACCACTTGCCTGAGCATGGCTGTGCAAGGAGACAGCCCTCGCAGGATACAGCTTTCCCCATGCAGGCACCGCTCGCCCCCGCCAGCCTCGGGGCTGGGGTTAGAGCCCAGCCACAGACTCCCTGGGGAGCCAGAGCGGGTCAGGCGAGGAAAGGAGTGTGGGAGGGATGAGGGCTGCCACCAGTGCCTGCTCCGCCAGGACCCTGAGGAGCAATGCTGCTGAGCGCCTCTCAAGTCCCTCTCCAAGCCCTTCTGCCCTTGAGCTGCACAACAGAGTGGAGACCGCTGGAGGTGGCCCAGAGGCTTTAATCCCCTGCCATTGCTGGCCAGTGGCAATGGAAAGCACTATGACCTTGCAGAACCCCTCTGGCACATCCTTGTGGTCCCAAAAACAGATCCAGTCTGGTTCTACCCAGCTGCGCTAGAGAGGAAGGAAAGCCCAGAGTCCTTCCTGGCCATCAGCTTCACTTAAAGGTGTGGCAGAGACTGGCAGGTCTTGAAATCTTCCCAAGAGTTTAACAGCAGCAGCAGTAGACTTATTTAAACTTGCCAGGAGACATAAACCCCTGAGCATTTTGGTGCCTCCTTGGAAAGTACAGAACCCTTGGTAGCCTAAAAATGAGAGGGAGTCCTCTGCAGCCCCAAGGACCGCCCCCGAGGCAGGGCAGAGACCAGCGAGAAATACATCCCCTGCCCTCCTTTATTCACTCCCGAGGGCTGGAGTACTGGGAGTCCTTTACTGTATGACCAGTGGTTCCCTCTGAGTAGACCCAGGGAACTCTAGAAGCATGCAGGTCCATCCTTCAACAACGGCTGATTGTTATTTAGATGACTTAATTCCCTCTGAGACCTCCCCGGGAGGAAAGGGCTAGCAGGCATCCCGTGGTCAGTGCATGTGCTTCTGGGTGACACAGTGCCCGGAGAGCTTTACAGCAGCAAACCTACAGTGTGTTAATATTGTGAGGCATTACTCTGTGCAAAATGCATCCGTTGCCTTTCAAACCTGACACGCTCCAGCAAGCCGTAGCATAGGTAACCTTCCTCCCATCTATTGCCAGAGCAAGAGCTCTTACTGCAGCCTCTGCTCAAGTACAGAATCACCAACTGGTGCATTATTTATGGGAGACCTTATCACCATCAAATCTTTGGTTTTCAGTATTTTTTTAAACCCTGCTGCAGAAAGTGAAGTATATTTTCACGAGTGTTCTCAGTTTATACAGCTTTAAGTGCCAGGTAGTTCCCAGCGTTGCGTTCCCAGAGCTCCAGCCCCATCTGACTCTGCCTCTCCTCTGCCCCGACAGCAGTGACAGGGCTCACTCAGCTCCTCTTTCCGTTTTGGATGTTGCACGCTGCATTCAGTTGATTTTTTTTTTTTCTAAAAACATATTCAATATTTAAACGACTGGAGGTTCTTTTGAAACTGTCATTACAAATGTGAAAATGCTGTACATAGATTTTGCTACATGTTGTAACTTTCCAAAATAGTTAGAACTCCAATCCCTTTGGTATTTTTATGTGAATATTTTCAAAGAACCAGAACTTCTGACATATGGTTATATTATTTGATAATGGGACTATGTATATTCACAATTCAGTCTCTACCCAATGCCTATGTGCTATTCCTAAAATAAAGCTACTGCCTTCTGCCTTCTGACTGCATGTACCTCTGTGTCCTGTCAAAAACTGCTTCGTATGACAGCCGCAGGTGAAGGTGTGAGGAATTCTGCATCTGGCACTTCTGTGACTGCACCTCTTAATATTGGCCCCTTACACCTATAGGAGAGAGATGCAGGACCCGATCTTGCTGGATTTGGGCTGGTATGGGGAAAATAACTGCATAATTGTGAAGAGAGTTGCTTGCGTGCCAGCATTCAGGACAGTGTGATGAATACGAGCAACAAATTCTTAAAATAGTATGGATTTTTTCTGCAGCCTTCAGAAGAAAACATTTAGTGAGCGTATGAGCCAGTGAATTGTTTCCCTCTGAAAAGGAATTCTTGGCTGAGATTGAGTTTATGTCCCTGGAGCAATTTATCTCCCTTTACACTAACAGCAGATAGATAGGGACCGGTTTCGTATCAGATTTCCTGGTTGTAGTTTAGCTTGTTTACAGCAGCCTGCTCAATCACTGGGTCCTCCCTGGAGGCCACTGCACCGGCAACTGTAAAACGGCTCTGAACAGGGTTAATAAAAATGTTATGGGTAGAAGTCCCTTGCCGCGCACATGTATTTAAGGTGCTTGAACCCCTCCTGATGTTTCTTTAGCCCTCCTGGCCGATCAAGCCTGGCTCTTCTGCAGCCCCGGGGATCTCGAGCTGCCCAGTGCGGCTGTCAAACCTCACACTGCACGTCCAGCGCAGCCCAGGCTGCAGTCCATAAACCGCCACAGAAATGATGTCCTGCAGCCTCCTTTGCAGCAGGGTACATACGACAGTCGGCATCATTCACCGCACACGCTTGTTTTGCTTGATAACTGCAAGCAATTAGGTAATTTTTCCCCAGAATCAGTGTGCTGGCTGGGCGCTCTCCTTTTAGCCTTGTACAGCCCAGCCTTAACAGAATGCCTGCGTCAGCCTCGATCATGGGATCATCTTCACAGGAAAGCCTGTCCTTTGAAAGGAAACAATAACTCAGGCAGCAGCCCGGGGTCAGTGCGGGGAATGCAGCCGTGGCGTGGCTCCTGCTCCACGGGGTGCCACTTCCATCCTCTGACAGAGACAGGGAAACTGTCACCATGAAAATCCCAGGTTACATTCCAAACTTCGGATTATTTAAGGATTTTTGCTCTTTCCTGCAAGAAATGGGGGGAAAAAAATCAAAAAGAAAATGAGCAGCTTTAGTAAAGTCATGGTGAGGACAAGATCACAGCTCCCGTTGGTGGACTGGCTGGGCTAAGATAGTACCAGGCTGGCATCTCCAAGCCAAACTGGAACCACATATGAACCCTCCCTCTAAGTAACTTGATAATGGTTTGAAGGGCCACAATCCATAATTATTTTCCAGGTGCCATGAAAGATGCCGAAGAGACAAACAGAAGTCTCAGCTGCAGACTGGAAGGTCTGGAAGTCAGAAAAAAGTGGCATAGACTGGGAGGTAGCACAAGGCACCTGCATGTTGAATTTGAAGCCCTCAAGGATCTGCATTGTTCTAACACAGTTTAGGGAAATCTGGGTTTTCCAAATTCTATCAGACCAAATTAAAGCATCTTCAATCACAAGATTCAAAGACCTTTAGTTATGCCCATAAGAACTGTGAGCTGAGTGTGAAACAATGAGATAAAATACAGATACTGTTTTTTTCCTCCGTTGCTTTCTGGTTTCTTAGACTTTGGGGTGCCTTTTTTTTTTTTTTACTTTCCCTCATTGTCAAGCTTAGAAACTCCAAAGCGATAGCACAAGGCACCTGCATGTTGAATTTGAAGCCCTCAAGGATCTGCATTGTTCTAACACAGTTTAGGGAAATCTGGGTTTTCCAAATTCTATCAGACCAAATTAAAGCATCTTCAATCACAAGATTCAAAGACCTTTAGTTATGCCCATAAGAACTGTGAGCTGAGTGTGAAACAATGAGATAAAATACAGATACTGTTTTTTTCCTCCGTTGCTTTCTGGTTTCTTAGACTTTGGGGTGCCTTTTTTTTTTTTTTAACTTGCCTCCATTGTCAAGCTAGAAAACTCAAAAGCGAAGGAGAGAGCTGAATTTCTGATTCTAGTAGCTGAGATGATTGTCAGAGAAGGGATAAGTTTCACAAAACGTTTGGTAAAAGCACTGCAGTTAGTTGCAACATTAAATGACTAGTGAGGGAGAGAGACAAAAGCAGCACCTGCACTAAGAGATGCGGCTCACGGCCGGCCAGCGACGTGGGACGGGCGTTCCCCGGGGGCTGCCCTGCTTTGGCTGAGACTTTCACCCAGGCGTCGCAGAAGAGCTGAGGACTCGCCAGTAAAACATGCCCTTAGGGGATCACACACAGTAAAATTCAGGTTGATAACTCCACTGTCAGACATGGATTAGGTTTGTGTAAAGACAGTGCCCATGTTTGATCTGCCCTCCCGGCTAGTGGGTTACCTGCCTGGTGCTGAGACATGGGGCTTCTCGGTAGTGCTGCCCTGGGGCTCTGTGCACCCCGATTTCAGAGCTGTATGAGCTGCCTCCTGCCACGGTCTCTCGCTGTGCTGGAAGGTCCCTCTTCAGCATCATTCTCTGCATGTGATTTTGCCGTGAGTGTTTACCAGGTTTTTCAGGCAGATGATGCTGAAGTCAAAACCTCCAGGCCGGTCCAAGAAGGGGGCCCGATTCTGGGATTAACCTACAGACTCAGAAATGAGTTATGAACCCCACCCCACAGATGAATTCTGCTGTTTGCAAGGCTTAGGCATAAACTTATAGATAGGACTAGCTGTCAGCTCCCCCCTGTGTCGCGGGCTGTCAGCTTGAGAGGACATCAGCACAGACTTTTTTTATTGTTACTTGTCCCTTCTCTAGCTGTGCAGATTGCTTAAGAGAATGGCACTCTCTGGAGTTTGACCCATGAGCCCTGATAGTGAAAATAATACACTTCTCACCAGAGCCACAGGAGACCGAAAGAGTAACTTCGGGCAATTAGTTTAACTTTGACTATAAATATTCC